GTTCTTGTTTGAAATGCATATAAATCTTTTATATCATTATGAATACGATTGACATCAAACCAATGTGAAATATCGCTTAATGTCCAATGTTTCAATGATCTAGCTTGGTTTCTGTTGTAAGTGATTATCGGTTGTGACTGTCGTAATGGCATTACGTATTTTGATGTGTTCATTGTATCTTCCACTATGTTAGTTAATTCTTCAACAGCTGCATTAAATTCTTTGCTTCCAAAATGAATATATTTTAATCCAGCTATTCTAATACCCAACCAACCTGTTGCTTTGTACTCTTTCTGGACGGTATTTGGATAAATAGGAATAATACGTTTCTTCAACACATCACTAGCATAGCTGAGTTCTTGACGGCATGATTTACTATCATAATACTCTTTCGACACTATCAGAATAATAACCGATGCAATTTCTATAGCCTCAGGAATCATATTTAAACGATGTCTTTGAAAGCAAGATGCTGGAAATGCAAAACAGAAGAAGAAACGTTTTCGATAAATTCATACATTATTTGATGGAGCTCGTTGAACTGAGTAAGAACAACGACTGTTCGTCTGGCGATGCAGTTGATTGCTTTAACCGGTCTGAAGTTTCCATGCCTTCCAGGCAAAGTGGCGTTGTCTGACGAGTGTCATGAGCTCTACCGGAATGAAGGGTGTCACAGGACAAAATATAAGCGTTAAAGTGCAAAACTCAAGAGTTATCGATAGATTGGATAACCAGTAGAATTCTGTAAAATTGCACGAAAACCTATAGATATTCTATTCTATCTTCCAAATTCAAATACCACACATCTCAATCTTGTTTCTTCACTCACTCACAATGCCCAACAACGCGTTAAAATGTTTTAGTGAAATATTTTTTTCGCATTCAGCATCGTAAGAAGGCTACTTCAAGCTAGGTGTGAGTCAATTTGATCGTAGCTCTCTCGTTCGACGAGCATATTCGAAATCAGTAATTATTTGACGTGAAAATTCAGAACAAATTAAAGTGATTGTGTAGGATAAAAGAACTACATCATTTGACTTGATCCCTCATGGTGATTCCGAATTTGATACTTTCATTGCGTAAAAGTTGAGTTCTGGTGGAGAAAATTCCGAATTACAGTCAAAATTCTGTTTAAATGATGTGTGAAAGATGATTTTAACTCTTGAGGCAAAAGAGGAGATAGGTTTACAAGATCCGAATGTCAGAGTATCCCGAGGCCGTACTATACGAGCTCGCCGCGGGCAAATTGACTTACATCTAGCTTGTCGTATTCAGTTTTCGATGCTGAATCTGAATAAAATATTTTCGCTTAAGTACAGTAAGTGCGTGCAAAGTAATGAAATCTGACTTTTTTCACACCCAAAATATGGTTTAAAGAAATTAAAAATGTCATATTCTTACTGTATCGACGAGCTCTATCGAACAATGCGTTTCCTTCCCCTCTTTTGCATTTCAGGCGCCTCAAAATGAATAGAAGGTAAAAACTAGAAAACGTTTTAATTTTACCTTGTCAGGAGCACAATATATTTAGACATATTACGCTCGATTATCTAAAGTGTTCGTTCCAATAAGGAAGAGTTAAAACAATTGGTGTCACTATATAGAAAGATCTGCGACCATTTGTCTGAGCTTGATCTTCTATCAGTTTTCTGGAACACTCCAGTTTTCATCCAGTCACATTACGATCTCTCCAAAAAATAGTTCGATCGAGCTGATCGAACTAAAACTTTTAGCGCAAACTTTTCAGTTCGTACGGACCAATTTTTTCGAGGAATCGTATTGTGACTGGATTGAAGACAGGATTGATTTGAAAAAATGCATACTGAGAAAAACACATTTTGTACATAGGACTCCTAATCGGGACCCTTACAGTGGTGCTTATATCTACGAAAACTCATTAGACAACTTTGGCAGACGTCTCATTGTGAAGAGAAGATTTCTTCTATCAGACTAGGTCTAACAAAAAACTTTCAATATATAGGAAAGGATAGAGCAATTTACGAAAACAAAAGATTGACATTTTCTTTAGGCTTAGAATCAAAAATTTCGAGAACTTTTCAAGAAACGTCATGAAGAGCTGCGAGTATCTCATATGGTAGCCCAGACTTTCCTCCACATTAGAGTACGCTTAGTGCAAAATAGAAATCTTTGGAAGAAAGAGGCGGATAGGGCCACCCTTAAAACTGATTCAGTTTTTATGAACGTACTTGCCGTATAACTTCAAGCAATTTCTTCCCAAATATCATCGGAATGCGTTACTGACGTATAATTTGTTAACTCATAGTTAAGATAACCAACCCAAACATCAAATTGTTCCATTAAACGTATTTTATCAACTAATTGTTTACAA